CCAAACAAACAGTCCTAGAAAGGAGGGAAATGGTGAGCTCCTCTGCAGCCATGTTATCTCCCAAGTGACAGTGATGAGGATGCAGTTGAAGTCCAGAGGAAAGCCAAGGAGTGAACTAAACGTGTGGTTCTCCACACTTTGTATACGTAACCTTAGTGCTGGATACCCAGAGTGGACGGCTCATTGGGACTGTTACCAGCCTGAGTTCCTAAAGAAAGGAGGCACGGGGAATGCCCCATCTGTGCCCTCAGCAGCTCCATGCTCATCTCCAGCCCTGTGGGCAGGAGCATGCAGAGCTTGGGTCAGGCTGCACTCGGGGCTCACCCCTCACCATGCGTGGCACGAAAGGAACATAAACAGGAAGCACGAAGCCACAGGAAGTTCGACTACAGAAGTTTCGCTGTTCATAGAAGCATTATTTTTTAATACTTCTATCGCTGTGCCTCGTGTCAGGAAAGAGCGTTTGATTTCTCCCCCTGTTCAGAACTCAGGGAGGTGAAATGTTCCCTCCGGGTTATGGATTGTTCCCCAGCCTGATTCTCTCCATGTTACAACATGGTGGCACCGGGCTGTGACTGCTCACACCCTTACTCTGTAGGTGCTGGGATTAGACGACCAGTTTCCCCTAAATTCTCCAGCTATCTGCTTTCTAATTTCTCCTTCTCTTGTCTTGGCACACCTCACCTCCAGGATTTCCTCATCCACAGGCACAAACTCAGCTCCATCCCCTGCCCCACTGACAGATGGACCACTGTCTGCTCCAGACAAATTCTCCCGTCACACTAAAAGCCAGACGTTCTCCCCGACGATTCTCCTTATTAGCAAAATCTTCACGTTGATAAAATACTATTTCTGGCCTCCATTACTCACCTCCTGCACTTCCTTCCCTGCTCTCTTTCCCTCCCTTTCCCCCCAGCTCCATCACGCACCACCAGCTGAACACAGATCAGCACTGGAGGTTTTTACCGCTGTTATCCAGGGCATTCCTCTGGTTTCAGGGCTTTGCTTCCTGAACGCTTGCAGTGATCATCCTCCCTCCTCATTAATTCTCTGCTCCCTGGCCCCTTCCCCCATGTCACACACCCCTCTTTTGTAAGCCACACTACTTCCTCCTTCTCTCTCCCTGGGAACATTTTCTGAGCATTTTTCAGCCACTTCCCTTTTTCAGGCTCAACATGCAGCCATAGACAAATGAGCACGCAGCATCCTGGGCACACACGGGAGTAACCCCTGCCTCCAACCGCCTGCCTGCCACAGCACATTTTAATCTCATCAACAACTGCACCAACTATTTATAATCAGCTCTCTGATTACATTCCTAAGGTCAACATCCAGCTCAAAAGACTTGGAATGGCCCAAGCACTGCTGCAGGTTCTCTCCTCCCCGGGGGCTCACAGAACGTGCTCATTCCTATGTGCCACCTCCCTCCTGGTGGCCCACTCACCACTCTCCTGGCTCACACCAATGTGGCTCCATGAGGCCACATTGGCAGCCCCTGTGCTGGCATGCTGAGCAGATGAAGCCCATGTTATGGTCTGCACACTGTAAACCCCAGCAAGACCCCACCAAGCCAATGGCTGACAAAGCAAGGTGGCATCTCCCTCTAGCCAGCTTTGTTGCATGGTGCCATGCAGGAAGCTGCTTTAAGCTGAATGGGATAAAAGGGAAGGCAAAACATTCTCACTTTAGCACCGGAAATTGAGAGGGAGAGAAAGAGGAAACGCCTGTGTCTGTTACAAAGGATCTTACAGAAAGAAATTTCTTTGTAAGGTAGCTGTCAACGTTTAGTTTTACTTACGTTCTTGTACAGAAGAGTGCTGGTTGTTTCCACTGCTCTCCTTAAAGGTGTTATGGTTAAATAAGTAGAACCTGCACATGCTTAATGACCATGAAACACTATGCTAGTACCCTTCATACATAGGTCCACCATTGCATTCAGATCCTCTCAAACCACTCAGCTAACATCACCATTTTATGCACGTGAGTGAAAACTAGCAACTTCATCCTCCTTTAGAGGGAAGGAGACAACTCAGAATGGGATGGCCCATTTCTATATACAATTCGAGTCCAGAAGGACTAATTATATCATCTAGGTTGGTCTTCTCACACCCCATGCTACTGAATTTCACTGGCTGAGTCCATATGAAGCTCACCACGTTCAGCAGACGTAGCACCATCACTGGTCCCAGTGAGTCCTCCCAGCTTTGGTGTAGCAGTGGTGACCTACTGAGCTCAATTCCAAGCCTTGCCTCCAAACGTTAAACAAAACACTTAGGAAAATGAGTACTGTGCATCTTTCTTTTGAGGCACTTTAATTATGTGACCAACTTCTTGACAGAACACAGTGGTTGGTAGCAAGAAAGCAAACATGATTTGATCAGAAATGCTAGGCCTTACTACAAAATTAAGTCTTTAAGACTCGTGGCTTACAAAGCCACTAAGAGCTGTGAAAAAGTTACTTCATTCAGGGGTGTTTTGTTTTTCAGTTGTTTGTTAATGGGAGTTTGGGAGATCATTTGTTCTATCTACGGTGACACCCCGTGGTGGTAAAGAGTAGTTATCCCTGAACGCTTTATCTCACAAAAACAGAAGCTCTGCTGTGACTATCCTGCTGCTTACCCTCACTAACAGGAGGAGATACACCACTGAAAGGGAGTTTCCCATCATAACAAGCATAATTCCTTTTAGGAAATAAGGAGAAAAGTTTCCTATTGTGATGTAATTTATCCCTTACTACCTATACTATTAATATTTCTAAAAGTGATTCCATAAGCAGAAAATTAACACATGTAACATTCAATTTGAAAATACAAATTTTATATAAAAATACATCTGCCAAAGAAAAGATTACAGGATGCATCCAGATGAAGTAGCACAAGAAGGCCACAGGCTGCATCTTGGGAGCCTCAGGATGGGTGCTGGGAACACTATGAGGGCTGTTCTTGGGTGGGTAGTACGGCATGGTACAGAACATGGTACTGCCCAGGAAGGTCATTGTATTTTCATCCTTGGAGGCTTTCAGGATTTGGCTAAAGGAAACTCCTGCTGGGCTGCTGCTATGCTGGTGATGGGGCTGCTTTGAGTGGGACGCTGGAAATGCCCTCTAGAGGCTCCCTCCAAACACCAATTCTACAAATGAGCCAGCAGCTACTGAGAAGACCAGCCTTATCAGGTTCCTAAGGCTCCTGGTACCGCTCCAAAAGCACTGGTGTCAGAGGCCTACAAGACAGAGACACATACATGGCCACAGCTGAAATTGACATTTTGAGTATCAAGGGTGTGAGTTCTGTTCTACGGGTAGCACAAAGGCAGACTCTTTACAAGGACTTATTGGCATCAATCTTTAACTCACCTATTTTTTTTTTTTTCCTTTAATAAAGGTAGATTTGAAAATATACACTCCCAAAGGTTGATGTAGGAGAGGCCAAAATAACTGCATTGAATATAAGGATTTGCTTTGCCAGAACGGAGTTCTTGCCCTGCTATAATAAACCAAGCACAACAAATTGCCTATCCAGTTTCAACCTGGGTCTTGACTCTCTTTGTTCTTCCATTGCATAGCAAATGCATTTAAAAAAACAAACAGTGAATATTTCAGTTTTGCTGGTTGTCTTTTTTCCTCCCCAGTTTTCCTAGAGTAAACAAACATCATTTCATCTCTCCTGTGTCATCTTTGTTAATTTTCTCACGGATTTATGGCAGGTCTGTGGTTCTGGTTGGCTTTTCAAATCAGCTAAAGCCTAAGGTCAGGCTTCTTAAAAGCCTTTTCAGATCCTATTTACACCAAAAATGTAGGTAGCTGTGATAATATCTATGTTTAGTTGAAAACACAAGCACTTGTTTTCCAAGGTCAGCTTAAGAACTACAACGTTTGGTATGAATGCCTGCTCCAGAACAGTGAAGAACTTCCAGAAAACAAAGAAACAAAAACCAGAACAAGAAGACAATTGCCTCCCTCATATTTCAGAAGTTTGTTGGACAATATGTCTTCCAAATTACTCTTTCCCCAAGCCCTACATCTGTATCCTCAGTAGCCTACACTCGTTATAGCTGAGCTTCTGGTTATTTTTTTTTCCATTTTAGCAAATACCAGAAAAGTCATAGAATCATATTTTTCTTTAAAGAACCAAAAACCAAAGTGAGATTATTGTATGTAATAACTATTCATTAAGTCATGCTAAGTCTTGTGAGGCAGGACTAAATAATAGTTCTGATACGGAACAGAACCTGAATAAACACAGTGCTTCTGTTTCTCATGAAGGATTCTGAAGCATTTGCTGGTGAGTCTTGGGTCTAATATTTTAGAGCTGGAAAAGGGTTGAGATTTACCCAGCATTTCACTACACTGCAGCAGAGCCAAGCCCAGAGTCTGTATACCCCAGCTTCAGCTTGCAAAAGTTGAGTAGAATTCTATAATACCCTCAGGACCTGGAGATGCAGGAACTCCTGCAGTCAAAACAGCTATTTTGGAAGAGTGGTATTTATGTGGCTGAAATACCCCTGCAGGAAAAACATTGCCCAGATGAAAACGGAACATCTGACAGATCAAAATCAATTGCCAAGACTTTGCTTTCTTTAGTGCTCTTTCACCTGTGTTTGAAACAATACTGCTTTAGCCAGGACAGGATGAATGACATTTTCACAACAAAGAATTCAAGGAACATTCCTATTCCCAGTTATTTTAAAGTCAATTAACAGAATTCTTATCAGTCATTTCAAATATGTAATTGCACAACTGTGTGTTGCAGTTCACAAGGTATTTGGGGTTTCTGTAAACATTAAGACAGACTAACCCTCTCTCCCAAAACATTTCTGTGAGAGATGAGTTTCCTCCTAGTCATCAGAACGCCCATTTACAATGCTTAGAAACTCCTCACCTACATAACTTTTAAACCTTTAATCCCCATGTCTCACTCCCTCCCCTTGTTACCTGGCTATCATGTATACAATGCTTTAAAGAAGATTCTCAGCTTCTGGTGTTAAAGCAGAAAAGGGAATGCTTTTTTTTTTTTTTTGGAGAAAAAGGGATGTAATTGATCCGATCCTAAACAGATAATACATATAGAAAAGCATTATATAATTTAGGTGACAAAGTTTAATTAAAAAAAATCCAAACACCTCTGGAAGACGCCATCAATTCGCTAACATCATTTATGCTACACAATACAAAGAATTTTAAGTCTTGTTTTGCAAGTCCCTTGTGGTCATTCACCAATGCCTTTGTTCATCAAAAGACTGTCACAAGCTGAAACATCACCAAAAGCATATATGCTTTACAATTTTCTAAAAGCCTATTCCACTCAAAACTAAAAGACTTATATTTACTATTCATTAATGTACTAAATTCTTTTAAAAGACATGTGTAATTAACCCAATTGATAGCAGACAAGAAAATTTCACTGGTACCACCATATTTAGGCTTCCGCAAAGATCAAACGTGGTATATACATCTGCAGAAAGCAGAACCACTCTAATTTAAGGGTCAGAAAGAGGAGAGCTGGCTTTTCAGAATGCAGATTTTCTTTTGCATTGAATCTTGTGGCCTCAAACGTGCCCCAAGAGTATTAAAGCTCTCCCTAGGAGTTGCAAAAGAAAGGCGTTTGGGAAGACTGGTCCGTTAGTTACTCAGCTTCAAGGCTAAACATATAAATGTACTTAGAAACAGATACTGTGTTGATAAAATTACCTCATCTAATGTTCCATATAAAAAATTACAAAATAATCAAGACAAAATGAACTTACTTCTAACGATGCCTCCTAAGCATATGTAAAAAATGAAACGGCCATTTTTCACAGTTTACATCTTAAGTAATACAAGTAGTTTAGGCTACCTTATAACCTAAGCTTGAAAAACTTGATTTTTTTTTTTTTTAAAGAAGAAATGTGTAATGACACTACCATCACATTACCATAATTGCAAACAGATCCCATTCTGAATCTTCTTCCTACTGGTAAAGATATGAAACCAAAACATTTACAAGACCTGTTTCTTTTCTCTGCTCCTTCTGCAAAGCGAAACGTAGCACCATGTAGGTCTTGTAAGTGATGTGACTTCTCTTCAGTCTCCTCCTCATAATTTTTCCAAATTCTTATTATGTTCAAATTTTCCTGTGCTTCACCTACCAGGTTTGCATTTCTACCTTAGCCATTCATGGTTTTCTTCTAATAACGGACATATCCAACTCTCAGACAGTTCCTTGTGCCATATATGGCAGTGAACAGTAATTCAGACTTAAAAGTGGTATTCCATACTAACAGTGTATAAATTACAGATAAAAACCTGAAAATTGCAAAGTGCAATTTTTTTTTTTTAGCAAGGAAAGTAAAATTCTTTGGTAAGCATAGACACAATGCATGGAATCTGTTTCTTTGCATTGAAATCCTGTCGAGTGGAGCAGGATTCATATTCTGCCACTCTGCGATTTACACGAGTTAAAATCTGCATGAGTTCAAGTTTCCTGGCATGTTCCTTCAGCATTCTACACAGAGATTGAATAAACCAGGAGCCTTCAGCTGCGTTCCTCCAGGAGTAATAGCCTGTGGAAGACAAAGAGATCAAGCTGATCAGGCATAGCAGCCTCTGACACAGGACAGGATAGCAGTTACAGAATGACACAACATACCCAACAGCAGAGAAGGTCTTAAAGTAAACAAATACAACCCCTAATCAACAAAGTTGAGATTTAATAGTCCCTTCAAATTTCAACCCAAAAGATTTTTCTAACCATCTATTTTTTTCTAATGGGAGAAAATTTTAAGTAGGTAAAAAAAAATGAAGAGACAGGAGAATTATTGCATGGGAACTGCTGAATCACGGTCTGAACCTCTGTTTGATCACCGTGAGTCAGCCACGGGAGCACAGGTGAAGGGGTGGAGCCCAGCTCCACCTCTCCTAGACCCATTTAAGAGCTGACTACCAGTGCAGAAGGATGTCTTCTGGACATCCCTTCTTTGGAGTTTTCCAGTGAGCCCAGGACAAGGGTAAGCCCTCTATTTTATTTTTCTTTTGGTATAATAACCTGCGTAGCCAAACTCTCCTGTATATTTCTTAATTATAATATCTGTATATTCATTGATTATACAATTATCTTCTGCTCTTACACATTAATTTTTTATTATTTCATTACAGAATACACATTGCAGGAGCAGTGACAGCACAATGAGAGCCAAGAGGCAAAACAGATTTCACTGTCACTATCTTCAAGTCCAAAAGCATGAACTGAAGACTAGACCTTACTTCTAAAAACTGATAATGTAATGGGCATGTTAAGGGTCCTGTCACCACTAATTCACTTAGGCTGAATGAAATAGAGCTGACAGCCAAATAATACTTAGATGTTTATCATCATTTCTGTATGTATAAATATATACACACGTATAGATGTTCAATTGCTCTATTCTTTCAGAATTAATTTCTTTTCCTGTTGCAAATTATTTGCACAACTCAGATTAAATCAACCTGCAGCAGATTAACATTTCAAAAAGACCTATAATGAGCTTTTTTTTTCTGGGAATTGAGAGTACCAAGTGCTTCAAAGAAAATCAGAAACTTCAGAGTAATCAGCCACTGAACGGAGAACACTGCAAACTGCCAGTATCAGTACAAGCAGAAACATAGATACAATTTCAGCAACAAAGATTTTCTTTGCAAGTTTCTCACCTGGAGCAGTAGAATATGCATACAGGAAGTCTGCTTCTACAGGTATTTTTTGACACACTGTTTCATCTGGTCCACTATCTGCTTCAATACCAGAATCTAATTCTGTCCCTCTACAGGCCTATTTGTTGGAAAGAAAAATGGACAATAAAAAAAATGAGAAAAAGGCAATGACCGTAATGATAAGAATATTGTAATATTTTCAGCTTTGAAGATGATTAGACCAGTAAGACTCATAAGAAAAAATAACTAGCATTTATTTATATTAACTACTGTTTGGTTAGAATGGATATTCATATGAAAGTAGATTCAGAAGCTCACTGAAATATTGGCTAGCATTTAGAAAAATGTTGCATCACCTTAATTCAAATTAAGGTGATTTCAGCTCTTACAAATACTAAGAGGGCAGTCTACTTCAACATAAGACCTGAAGGGAATCTTATTCTAGAAGTAAATCCCTATAAAGCAATTTTAGGAATAACTACTTTGCACTTGTAACTTGTGGGAAGCGATTTGTTTTTGAAGTATTTTTATGATTTGATGATCACTGTTCAGTTGTAGCTCACCTGAATGAAAAAGAGTTTGGGTTTCCCTGCGAGACTTCTGCACTTGTCGCCTCTGAAAAGGCTCGTTAGTACCTTCAGTTCAAGAGGGCCATCTGTACCATAGAAAAGTCCTTCATCGCCATGGCTTAGCAACACACAAACAAAACTGCTTCGTTTGCTGTGATCTTCTTCAGAAACTTGAAAGAAAAGAGAATTATTGCACTCCCCAAGAAGCTTTGAATGTTGTGTATTTCTTACGTGACAGAACTCATTAGGAACAACTGTTTCCAGATCTAGAAACCTTAAACACTTTTCACATCCAATAAAAGGAGCCAGTGTACTTTACTTCATAAGGTCGGACGTAGAAAACCCTAAACGTAAGGCCAATCCTATCCATTGTAGAACATGGCCACATGGAAAAAATGGCTATGAACATGGTGAATCAACAAAGTGAGTTGGGAGTAATGATTCAGCACACTATCTCAGATTCCAAATGATGCACCTCACTTATATGGTAATGGTCAATAGGAACTTCTGAGTTTTGGGAAAGGACAGGGAAGTCTTGTTTCTCTTTACATTTCAACACTGGATTACATGCCAACTGCAGTATGAAAATTGTTAGTGCTAGATGGACCTAGCTACTCACATCACACCTTTCCCTTTGCTCTTGCCTTCTAAAAGCAAAGTCTAGCAAGAATTTTCAGGCTTCTGAGTTTTGTACTTACAGACCTTTAAGCAAGACATAAAGCTTTTCATCTTGTGGTATGTAAAGATACAGAAAACGTGTTCTACTATGTTTTTTGTTGCCTGAAACTGTGGGAATTGTTCTTGATGATTAAATGATTCTTTTAAGTGTACGAAAAGATACAAACAAGGTTTAAAAGAAGGGATCCAAAAGGAATTTTGAGTGGGAGTTTCAAGAAAATGCAAGAGTTAGTAGATAGAAAACCAGAGTCCCAAAAGCTGAAATCTTTTGTTTTACAGCTTGCTGAAATACTGGATTTCTATTCTGAAAATACTGAACTACTTTTATTTTTGTCAAGCAACGCATGCTCAGGCACTTCTATAATCTATGGACAAGCACTACTTCTATAAGAGTCAAGAAAAGCTAGTTTTGGGAATCTCTTGTTAGGCCGCAGTTTACACCATCTATTTGGATGCCTTATGTATAACACAGGAAAGACAGAAGCCTGGCATCAGAGAGTGTCACCTACCACTTTCAACTACTGTCAACAGATAAGCTGCAAGTTAACTATGCCTACGAGTCTTCTCTGGTGCCATTAAGTGCCATTAACTGGCACTAAATAGCCAAATCTACACTAGCAAACATATGCATTTAAAAAACAGGATTGCTGCAGACTAATTTACTGTTTTCCCTGGAACACTTTCACTGCTGAACTGTTACCAGAAACAGTCTGAGAGCGTGCCACAGTACCTTCCAACAGATTACTAGAGTTGACTATTTCAGGGCAACAGAACACTTCAAGGCACCATTTAATTTACTAGTCCAGATGTATTAAATGCAAATAAGATCAACACAAACAGTAGTATCAATTGTAAGAGAACTGTTTTGCATCACAAGTCAAACAAAACATGAGTTACTTCTCTAAAGGAGTAATTCAGTCCACATACAGAACTATAATAGTTCTGATCCCCTGATAAGAACACCTCTTGGACCACACTGCCCAGAACCCTTCTACCCAATTAAGCAGGTTTCTTTTCAGCTCACAGTTTCAGTGATCCAAATGTCAGAAAATAAATCATCCTGCATTTAAATTTCAGCCCGTTTTTCCAGCCCTTTAGAAGATGAGAAAGGAATCTGAGACAACACAGAGTCATGGCACAGAAGACGGAGAGGCAGCAAAGATGAATTAACATAGGAACTATGATATGTATGTTCTCTTTAACAATAAGGAGGTGTGAAATACTCTGTAAAAGAACCATAGAAGAAGAGATTTAAGTAGTAGAAGTGATTTTGGAAACAGTAGACTTAACACACATTCTGGTCATACTTGAACTCACCATTTTTCAATAGCTTAAAAATATCTCTGCTTGAAAGATCATTGTTAAGCTTGACTTTATATCCCAGCTTCATAAAAACTTCTCTGACACTTGCAGCATCTGCATCCGTGCCTGAACGAGATGACAGTCCTAGCATAAAAGACAGGTATTATTTTGTTATGATAGAAATGGCATACTCTGATTGAGCCAAATTATTTTCTTTCTTATATCTGCATCAGTCTAGAATATTATTCCATTACTCCAGATCCACTCTAAGAAAAAAACATCGTGCTATTATACATGCACACTCCATCCCCCCCGTACCTATTTCATATATTTATCTATTACTTATACCTACCTATATTGAGAAAGTTATCTTATTTATGTTACACAAGTCATGACTAAAAGGCATGGCAGGTTTGCACGCTGCCAATCAGCTTTTCCTCACACTACTCCCTCCGTGCATATTTAGAAAAATACACTGAAATGAATCCAATCCACTCAAACCGCTTAATTTTAGAATGCAATCAAAACTGGACTGTATATTTAATTCTGAAGAATAATACATCAAATTTATCTGAAATACAGAAAAAAGTAATAATTGAAGGCAGTACCAGTGTCTCGGTGGAAGTTCTTATTGTTTATTATAACACAGACTCCCATCTCTGGATAATCCATTCTGTAACTGTCATCAGGTAGAATTCCAGAGTCCACAGACTTGCTAGCAGGTAAGTTCATTCTGTACACAAATCAGACAAGCTTCAAGCATTAATTTCTGTTCTCTCTTCTCTGATTTCTTAGTATCTAAATAAGTAAATGGCTATTTAAGAAAATGAGTGAAAGTGATAAGATTTGCTATTTGATTCATGGAAGTGATGCCTGTAAAAAATCAGTGGACAGATCTGACGTGAGACTGATGAAAAATGCATTTGCCCAGAGGTTGAAGTAACCCATGAAACTGCGTTGTATGGTTATGCTCCCAAATAATATGATTGATTCAAGTTCCATTAAATCTACACATACACAAATAAACAAACATAAATAGAAGTAATTTGTATTTGTTGTAATCTTCTATGCAATTTATAGCAAGCTTAAAATTGAAAGCATCAAGGACAAACTCTCTAAAGTGATAATGTTTTTGCACAGAATAACAACACATTTTAAACATTACCTTAAGGAAACCAACGATCAAACAAATAACAAATCAATTGTGGATTTGTTTGGTTTAGTTTGTTTGTTTACTATTGTCTTTTGATAGCTATGTACCTGGAGGCAAGATTCACTCTAAGACTCTAAACCAAACCTGGATATGAATTTCACCCAAAAGCTGTAATACCACTACATTTTCACAGATAAATACTCAAAAGCTAGAAAATGACATAGCTGTAGTTCTGCCTCAATGTGCACACTAACTACACCACCTCCTGTGACTCTGAAGCTGTTTCCAACATTACACAGTCAACACATGCTCAAGTCTGCCTCATTTAAACATGTGGGCAAGTGTTTACAAGATTGAGGCCTGCTATCACATTGTATTTTACAAATAAAAAGTTTGTAATGCTGCTAAATTGACTCTTAAAGCACTAGAATGAATGACTTCAGAAGGAAATTATCTTCCCAGAGAAGGTGTAATCTGATCACAGCACTACACCAATGTAACAACCAAAGTCACCAGGAAAAATAGGACTGCCCATCTTCCTTCCCACTGCTATAAATTCCCCTTGCACCAGTCCTTCTGCACACATAGGTCTACAGAAGGCCAGTTTAAGAGTTCCAGCAAGATCTAGAAGGTTCAAGGAAAGGTGTGAACATTTAGCCTGGGTTAAGACAAAGAAATTTATTTTCAAAAACAGTTAATGACTTGGTAACCGCTAACCCATATCTAACTGCACCTTAAGTATCCTGCTTTTTAGTTCCTTGTTCATACATATAGCCTCTTTTGTCAGAAATGGTATACTTTCAAACCCAGCACAACAACTTTAATATATATATTTTTTAATGATTAACATAATTTACCATATTTGAAAGCTTAATTTTTTTAATAGCATCTCTTCTACAGCTCTTGTCTTCAGTTACAGCACAAGATTCCTCACCACTTACATTGAGAACTTAAGCCCAAAGTATCTCACTTACCCTTTGGAACCAGGGAAAGATTTTGCATCTGATAGATCTTCCCCTGAGCGTGGTCCATCTTTTATGTCAGTCATTATGACTCTTGATTACCAGCTTGAAAACACAAGCAAACAGAAACATATGACAATTTTCATGCAGCGTAATACCTTCAAGATTGCTTATTTTTTTCCACAGAATCATAAAGGTTAGAAAAGACCACTAAGATAATCTAGTCCAACCATTAACTCATCGTTTTGTTAGTTTTTCTTAAACTTCTGCACAGAGAGTTGTTTTGTTTGTTTTTGTTTTTTTTAAGACTATGGAGAAAACAAGAAAGTTCAAAGGGAATATTCACACAGAACGACTTCAGCCTAAGGATATTAGTAATAGTAGGCAACAATACGCATTTCTCAGTAATCTCTACATGTCTTGTAAAGAAGAACAGTAAATATTTTTCTGAATTATTGCATTCCAAAACAACTTTGGAAGAAAAAGCGTAGATCTCATGAAAAGCAGAAGACAAAGAAATTTAAAGTAATCTCCAAAACGTTAAAAATATTCCTAAATGCTTTACTGACATTTTAACACTATGAATATTGTGTCATATTTAAATCATTCTCTCTCACTATGATGGAGAAATTCAAATTTAATTCTCATCAGTGTCAGTGAAACCAACTGCAATTTAAATTATGTAAAAAAATGCAACAACACAACTTTAAATAGTTGATGGAATGAGCTCTGCACTGTGGACTGCTACTCAATTCAGTGCATAGGGAAAAAAGTGTTGAATGATATCAAGGCAGAAATCAATTTAAAGGCAATGATCCTTCCTTGCAGTTCATGGTTTGATTTGGAAGGAACCTTAAAGCCCCCCCCAGCCCCAATCCCTGCCATGGGCTGGGTGCCCCCCACCAGCTCAGGCTGCCCAGGGCCCATTCAACCTTGGCACCTCCAGGGATGGGGCACCCACAGGTCTGGGCAGCCTCATCACCCTCTGAATGAAAACAAAACAAAAAAAACCCCAGCAACTTCTTTCCATTGTCTAATGTAAATCTACCCTTCTAGTTTAATGCCATCACCCAAGTTATCTTTAACTTGGGATTCAGAGAAGGACTAAATTAAATCACTGCACATGACAAAGTAATAATGACTCAGAAGTGGATAAATGCTTAGACCTCAAGAAAAAGACAAGGCATGGGAAGGCAAGAAGTTTAACAAAACTTGCTGAGCAGGCAGACCTATGGTGAACTGGGATCTATAAGTAACCAGGCTAACAGTGAACTGGGATCTATAAGTAACCAGGCTAACTAGAAATACTATTCAGTCTCTGTTGAAGTTAGGGCAAAGGTTCATAATGTGAGGCTCACAATTAAATTTGCCATCTTGTACTATCATTTTATTGTCTGCTATCTTCTTAGTTATATTTGTGGTGTATTATTTGGAATATCCTTGGGACCACATATTTTCTGTGGCAGCAATTACCGACACATGAGAAGCACTATTCTGGGTATGTATGAACTTCTCTCTTTCCTTGTTTCTTAAGAGACATTTACTTACAATTTTAGTAGCTCCAAAAGATTTCCAAGGTTATTCTGGATACTGTTTCTCTGTATCTTGAAGCACTGATGTAATTAAGAAATATGGTTCATAAGACGATCCCAGACTTGAGAACTATATCATAATATGTAGGAGATCTCCTGAAAACCAAATTACAGAAGCATCAAAAAAGCTGTTATTTTAGAAATAAAACTCATAAAATGTATTATCAGTTTATATGTTAGAAATGTACTTTAAATATCATGAGGCAGGAACTCGGTTGATAATGCTGAAATTACCTGCCTAGCACCACGATCTGGATTCACTCTGTCTAACTACAAAGTTTAATTTCTTAGAAGTTCCCTACATGAAAAAAGACATAGGCTTCCAAAGGGTAACACAAGTACAGAACTCTCTGCTTTTCAATTGCAGTGAACTGTAGAGTTTGTGACTGCTGGGAACTGGCAAGAACAGCTGTCATTGAGAAGAATGCCCGATGTCCCCCTCTCCAGCCCCGGTATTTCTGCAGTTCTCTGGCCCTGTGAAGCTCTGCATGACAGCATTTAAGGGCTGGGCCCAGGCAGAGTAAATTAGCAAACATATGACCAGCTGAGATGTAGTCACACCTCATCCATAGCATGAGCCAACCTGGGCTACTAAGGACCACTTTCAGAAAGACTCAGCCAAAGTATGGGGACAGCTTTTGACTCCCTGGCCTACAGAGTGAATTTGAGATTGTTACAGAGGGCAAGTGGATTATCAGGCTGCTCCAAACAAACCCCTGCATCCCATTAGGGACTGGTTTCAATAAGCAGCAACAAGAATAACCCTGGCAAATGGCTGCAGACTTCAACAGGCAACTTTAAGACTTAACATGGTCTGCAACAACTGAATGCTTTGCTACCACAGATATCAACATTTGTCACAAACGGTACGAATAAAAAACGATATTCAACAACTAAGTGACCTTTAATTAAGGCATCTCCTTGACTTTTTTGTAGCCCTAATTAACAATTGCTGTTGTTGATCCGACGTCAAATTGGATTATAATGAATTACAGTTATTTGCTCCACAACACAATTTGTAGTACCACACTACAAAAGTATGTCTTACTATAGCACACGCAAGCTTAACTTCTAACCGACAGTTTCAATTGTTTAATCAAGCATTAAAGTCTACCGCATTCAGCGGCAGCTCGAGTGGAGCTTGTAAAGTGTCTTTAAAGAAGCTGGAGACAGTATGCAGAAAAGCCTGGTATTCTACATTAGCCATTTAAAATACGTACACTTCATCTGCAGAATCTGTAACTCACCTTTAACATTTGTGAGTTTCTGAATGCCTCAATGCACCAAGTCACTTGTACTTCTCTAAAAAGCAAGAGACATCCACAAAGAGAGACCTGTTTCCTTGCTAGGCACGCAAATGCATGCTTTCTGCTCTAAAGCACCAGTCAGGGTGATAGCAATGCTCCCTGCAGGACGATGCTGATTCAAATGGATGAGGAATTGCCTCATCCTAACCGAGGTAATGCAATGATGTCATATTCTGTCAAGCAGAATTCACATTTCCCTGTGGAGAATGATCTCATGCTAAAAGGGACAGGGAAAAAAATCAGGACAATGCTTCCAAAAATAATAGAGAACTTATTCTGCTCCTTGATACTCCTATTCTGAAAGCTTGCATAAGAAGAGCTTTCAATCACAAGGAAACGTAAAAAAAAAAATCAAGCAGCAAAAACAAGCAACAGCCTTTTTAAAAATCTTGCAGAATATGTTCTGCAGATCTCAGGAAGCCTATTTTTATGACCTGTTTTACAATATCTTTGTTTCAAGCCATACAAACTAAGCAAACAAACCGTGAGACGAAGATACAGGGCGTAAGGGTAACCCTACAGCGATCTCGAGCTGTACGATGTGGCAAGAAAGGTGCTTGAAAGAAGCACAGTGCTCAGCAAGATATGAGAAACAACCAGTGTCTTCTGGACAGCAATGAAGCCAAAAGCACATTTTGCTCTAAATGCAGTTGTTTCAGTGCTTTTGTTTTGATAGGGAGATGATAAAGTTTCTATATGTAGTTTGTTACAGCCTGGCTTAACTTACTGTCCTCAGATCTTCGTATATATCACTGCTGCCACAAAAGCAGCTCCAAATTTGCCCAGAGAGGCGGTGGATGCCCATCCCCGGAGACAGCCGAGGTCAGGCTGGGGGCTGTGAGCACCCCATGGAGCTGCAGATGTCCCTGATCAGCGCAGGGAGTGGCTCTCTTCTCTCTAAGGCACTATTTGCTTGAACGCTGAACAACGCAAGCCATCCAGCAACGAGAAAAACAGCCAAGCTTCCGAGGGAGGAAGGGCAGCCGCTGTCTGACCGGCCTCCAGCTGCCAGCTGCGCCCGCAGCTCGTGCCCGCCAGCCGCTACAAAGCGCGCGTCCGAAACAGAAACCGCAACGTACAACGCATCCTACGGGCGACAAAGGGGCACGCTTCTCCACCGCGCGCGATTGCAAACACACAGCTGCGCGACTGCTAAAGACTGAAAGCGGGTATTTTATCCCCGCATACACACGCGGCAACGCTCCCGCAGCCGCGCTCCCCGCGGCCGCCATGGCGGAACGCGCGTTTGGAACAAAGCGCAGCCCGCCCCGCCCCCGCCCGCCTCAACCCGCACCGCCGCCGCGGGGCCGCGCTGCGCGGCTCCCACCGCACCCTCCGGTCAGCCGGCTCCGCTCCGCCGCGCCTCCTCACCTCCTCCGGCGCTGCCCGCTCCGCCGCGCCGCCGCCGAGGGGCCGGAGGGCCGGCAGCAGGCAGCCCCGCCCCGCGACCCCGGCCCCGCCTCCCAACGGCCGCCGTTCGAACGCCGGCGGCGGTAGCGCGCGGGACGCCGAGAGGCGGCCGGGCCGCGTCCCCGTGCTTCAGAGCGGTAGCGCTGCGGTGATGCTCGGCGTGAGCGAGTAGCGGGCAGCCGTGCGGCGGAACCCGAGGTGGGGCTGAGCGGCCGGCTCGGCGCGCTGCCTGCGGGCGAAGTCTGGGCTCTGCGCTGTAAGTACGCGCCGGCCGTGTCCGAACCCGCGCCGCGAGGCCTCGCGTTCTGCTTCGCTTCCGTCTGCTGCAAGGAATTGCGCTTCTGACTGCCAGAACGGACGCCCATAAAATTAAAGCCTTAAGGCAGCTGCAAGGAGCCTCGCCAAAGAGAGGCTGCCGTGATTTCAGGACGCTAAATAAATACAGAAGTACCGAGGTGGGTCAGAGCAGGACTGTCACTTAACGTGGGTTCATCTTTCAAGGTTACGTGATAAAAACTGGGAAAGTGTACAGCTGATCCCCAGGTGGAGGCCGAGCTCATCCCTAGGAGCGTCTCAGTGCCCACCTCCTGCGATAGCACTTGCAATCTGTGCAACAGTTCCAACTCCATCATCACCTTCCTAGTTTCTTATTCGTATCTTCAGTGGCCAGAGTCAGCATAAGCTTAGGGTTAGAAAGGAAGTTTCCAGCCTCTCAAAATAGGTCCTCATCCTACTTGTTGAGGTTCTGTCACCAGGTCTGATATCCTGCCTTTTGTGCAAAAATCCCAGAATCTTACCTGTAGAAGATGCTAGTCCTCATATTAGGAACTCAGTGTAGCTGAGAGGTGCAGTTGGCAACTTGGCAGAAGGAAGGAATGCCATCCAAAGGGACCTTGACAAACTTGGAAGGTGGGCCTACATAAACCTAATGAGGTTCAGCAAAGCCAGGAGCAAGGTTTTGCACTTGGGTTGGGATAATCCCAGCTATGTATATACACTGGGAGAAGAACCTCTTGAGAGTAGTCCTGCTGAGAAGACCTAAGGGTACCAATAGATGAAAAACTTAACATGAGCCAGCAGTGTGTGCTTGAAGTCCAGAAGCACAGCAGCATCCTAGGCTCCATCAGAAGAGGAGTGGCCAGCAGGGAGAGGGAAGAGATAGGACCTCAGGAGGGCAGAATGCAGAGGGACAATATGGAGTACTACATCCAGGTCTGTGGCCCCCAGCACAGGAAAGATGTGGAACTTTTGGACAGGATCCAGAGGAGGCCCACAAGGATGCTGAGTGGAATGGAGCAGTTCATCCATGAAGAGGGGCTGAAGAAACTGGGCTTGTTCAATCTGAAGGAGAGAAGGCTATGGGGAGACCTTGTTCCAGCTTTCAAGGGACATTATAAACAGGAGGAAAATGAACTTCTTACAAGGGAACATGGTGATAGAACAAGGGTTTCAAACTAGAGGAGAGAAGATTTAGATTAGATACTGGGGGAAGTTTTTCCCAGAGAGGGTGGTGAGACCTTGGCACAGGCTGCCCAGAGAGGCTGTGGTTGCCCCATCCCTGGAGGTGTTCAAGGCCAGGTTGGATGGGGCTCAGAGCAGCCTGGTCTAGCACTCAGTCTAGCAGTTAGCAGCCCTGTCTGTGGCACAGGGTTTAGGACTAGATGATCCTTGAGGTCCCTTTTAATTCAAGCCGTTTTATGATTCTATGTTACTGCTGAGGAAAGATGAGCTGCATTCATTAGTGTGCCACAGGTCAGCTTAGCATCAAGACTGTTCTCCACACACATTAAGAAGTTTATCACTATGGAGAAAGCTATCTAGTAGATTCCTCCAAGGCTGGATGAACTTCTTGGTGTTGAGTGATATGCGCTCCACCACAGAGCTACATGGCTTGAGTCATGCAGGCCAGGAAGCCAATGTAAACAAAAGGCATTATTTTAAGCAGTGGCTGATTTGCATGTCTGAACTTCATTTCCCAGCAGGTGTGGAGGGTGTTTTGTCCATACGCATAATAGATTTTGAGTTTTAGTTAACAAGAACAGTGGTTACACGTGACAAAATTATGCATATCCTTCCTCTGTAGGAAGGAGAAGGTTGCCATGTCTGAAATGGCAAGTTCACTTGTTTAAAAACAACACCACAAGGCTAAGGTATAAACAGTTAAGAACTCTAGTGTTCTCATCAATTAAAGAAATAGTCTTTCATCAAAGGGGGGAAGTGAAATAGCACATCTGTTAAGTCATCTCCCACCAGATATATTTTATCAGCATCTTCTTGCTATCATTCTGCTGAATCAAAACCACCACACACTGCTAAGAAGATTTCTTTCTTGCAAGTGAATTAAAAATAATCCTTCCTTCTACTTCTTGGACAGAAGTAAAAGGACCAAAAGAAAGCAGGAATTTCCTGATAAGCCCAGAAGTCTGGCTGGTCTGTAGGTATAAGTGTACATGCTAGGAAAAACGTGACAGGTTAGACTGCTGAGAAGCTAAGAATTGTTTGGACTGAAGTAACAGCAATAGATCTCAGAGCCATCAACCTCTGCCCGGGTTCAGATTACACCCCGGCAGCTGTTTCTGGTAGGGAGCATGCTAATCTAAACAGGAAGCTGAAAAGGAGCACAAAATTAAGGAGATTGAGCTTTTTCCCTCTTCACCTAATGGGAAGGTTCTGATCCAGGGGGAATGTCTGCTGTGCTTGGGCACCCACTTCATTTACAGCAGGGCTATCAGCAAAGTGAAATCAAGGATTTACTTCTCAGAAATGCTGACTGCTGTTAGGATTTCTCTTTTTGTTTCTAAAGAAGAAACTAATAGCCTTAAAAGGAAAGGAGTAGAGGAAATTAGTATGACAGCAGACTGGTAGCATCTGTAGACATGTTTGACCTCATACATGAAATTAGTACTCTTATTTAGAGTGGACTAAGCTATCAAAACACAGGTAACCAGGAAACTTTACTCTGGAAAACTTGGAAGGGGGATTCAGAAGACCTAACATTTGGGCTTTGAGGCCCACAAGGATATTTAGATGTGTAAACTCACCTGGGGGATGCATCTTGTTAAAGGTTTGAATTGAATGCTTCCAAGTATACCTAGTTTCATTTTTTATCTTCTATTGCAGCTGGCATGTAGTTATGAGTGGTTGAGCCAGGAAAAACAGAAAATATACTTCCAAGTTTTTTTTGTAGGTTTTCTTTTTCTATTTTACTACTTCCTCTTCCTGCTTGTAAAGTAGCAACAGATGTAGTTGCTTTAAACCCAAAAAAGGTAGCAGTTAGAGTTCAGTAATAAAGAAGGAATCACTTACCCCCTTTCTGAAGGACCAGGGCTCACCAAGCACTCCAAAGGAAATGACCTCCAAGTAGGGATGCTTCCCTTGTGGCTGCCAGCCCTTAAATGAAGTTAGGGAGGGGTGGAGCCAGGGTCTGCTGCCTGCCAGTCACACAAGTGAATTGCTTCCACCTGTGCTCCCAGGGCTGGCTACACCCCCTCGCCAGCTGCTCAGTCACTGGTTCAGGCCATGACCTAACAGTCCCCATACGCTGTTGTTTCACATTTTCCTAGCAATGCTCTTATTCATTTGCAGGAGTGCTGAGGGGCATTGGATTTTCCCAGAAAAATAGCTAATAAAATTTAAAAATAATTATACATGTGTTATGTTAATGTACTTATTCTGCTTTACTACCTTACTTAGTAGCATTTGGATTACTTATATGACTGTGAGTTTAAAGGTTGCGTGATAGCGAGCATTACGGCATCACGTGCTGTTTCTTCACAACAGACAGGATTGCTATTTTAAATCTGCAAGACAGGATATAGAGTGTAAGATTGTACAGCAGATGAAAATAGCGATAGCAAGGGTTGGCATCAAGTAATGGAGCACTTATTTTGGATTTCAATTTTTTTTTACTTTGAGAATAAAGAAGCTTAGAGCTAGAGTTACTCAAATCTCATTATCAAGAACCCAAGTGATGTTTTTTCCCACAAAAATCAATTTTATAATTTATTTCTCCAAGTGGGAAGCAGAAGTAATAGTTTTTTTTCACTCCTTACTAGTGTTGTTTTTAGCTGCTTTAAACCACTCTGTATACTTTTTCAGGAGGAATGTATTAACACCATTCCATAAGCAAAAGTGAAACTTGTTAGGCCTTCCCTTACTACATCTGTTGTGTTAATCTTTGACAATATTATTAGGAAAATAAATCATTTTCCAAAACTGTGTGAAAGTATTTAATGTTGAAAGGAGAATTGTAGGCAAGTTTAGGTGTTGATTTGGAGTATTGTCTATTCCTAGTCATTACATAAAGTATGCTCAACAAGAGAAAGAATCAAAAGCAATGATGAGTATCAAAAAAGTTAGAAGTGAATCACAAAAATTGATAGTGATCTATTTGTAATTGCTTTAGGAGAAATGAAGAGAAAATGGGAAGAAAGAGTGAAGAAAGTTGAAGAACTAGCGTCTTACTATGAAAGAAACCCTATTCCTACAGTTTATAAACCAAGACTGTCCAAACCTTTTCAGCCATCCCGTGTTTGGAAACTATTTTGTCGGCAGGCTGAAGCTTTCAGATTTGTGAAAACCTGCAAGGAGGTAAATCGTTAGTGAATATCTCTGCTCTTTGGTGCTTTCAAGGTTGAACTTGACTGAAAAACTTGGTGAACAACGAAATCTTTATCACATTGCAAGATCTCTTTTTTTTTGCAGTCCTAATACATCATTATTTTAATTTTTCTGGAGATAGCTCTAAGTACTACTTGGAACATAAGAATTGATACCTGGAGTTAACCTCTAATAGGAAAAGTAGCTTTTGGTAACCTGGTAGTGATCATTTCTTCTTTCTTAAGAGAAGAAAGATTTCAGGTTTGGCAGAAGAATGGGAAGGAAGTGAGAGTTGCATAGGAAGAGAAGCAGAAATGAGGAAGAAAAAGGGAATGACAAGAGTCAGAGACAAAAAGACAAACAATACAACTCTCTACTACCATCAGGGTAACAAGATGAGATGCTGTGAAGTAATGATCCAAATAAATATATTACTCAAAATGTATCTTTTCCAGTTCTCTGCATTTAATACTTTTCAAATTGCTGCTTCTAAGGAAACATAATGCAATGTATCATCTTCCTCTGCTGCATTACGTGTTCAAGTAATCCTGATGGCTTGCTTTCCTGAGTGTACTTTCACTGTATCAGCTGTGGTGGTGTTTTGGTTTTGGTTTCAGATTTCCATTTTTGGATCTAAGTGACATAGGGTCTACAGCCATATGCCATATGCTGCCATCATGTCAGTGATGTCCTGTCAGGACACTGGCCTTCCTCCAATTACATGCACTTGCACTTCCTTGATCAGGAAAAAAGGACTTACAGAATTTATATTGATGCACAGCAAAGAAAAACTTTTTGTTTTCACTCATGTAAATAAAATGAGGATGACGTTAATTAAAAACAGATGCTACTTCTGTTGAAAAAGGATAAGTGATCTACTACTTAGAATTTCTTTGTATTTACTAACTTTTGACCAAAAAATGAATGTCAAATAGGAACTTCTGAAGCCTTCTGAATTAAAAAAAAAATAAAAAAAAATAAAAAAATTAAAAAAATCTGTTTTTATTTTAAAAGGATGTTCATGTATTTGCCTTGGAAAAGAACACACAAAATGGACAGAGGTTTTACCTCGTGACTACATATAAGGAGCTTTGGCATTATTACACGTAAGTATTTGAAAGAAATACTCTATACTTTACTGGTGAAGTATCACAGAACTGTAATTGGAGGACTAAGGTTTGATCTTGGTCATAGGAATAATCTTAATAACGACAAATCTATCTATTCTGCAGTGATTTTCAATTTCCCTTTGAGTTGAAGTCAGCCATTATTTCCTGTGAATTAAGGATTCCACTCACTGAACTTAAAACAGTAGATTTGAATGTCAGCTTTCTTTAGGGATCATGTCAACAAATGACACAAACATATCTCAATGATTAGTCCTATTTCAACTGAAATTGGTATTAGTATAAATGTCCAATTACCAACTGTCTTGCTTTTGCATGATGTAGTTTCAGATACAGACAATTGGATCATGTGCTGAACATTTTTTTCTAATCTTTGTTTTACATTAAAATACCTGGTTTTAAAGCAAAAGACAACTAAGAGTCAATGTTTGTATAAACTGTAGACTCGAGGGTTTTTCTTCTCAATTTAAAAACAAGATTTGATTTTTCTTAATATTTGATTTAGTTGAAAGAAAAGGTCTATGTAACCTCCCTTTTTTTTGTGCTTAAAACATGAATGATAACTTTTTTTTCTGTAGTTTCCATCATTCCTTAAATTCTCAACACCATTTCTGCTGATAGCACATACTGGAAGACTTGGGGGGATGTGAGTGGGAAAGGAAATACTTTCCAAACTTAAACTCATTCTAGACCAGGCAAATATCAGTAAATTTTCTGAAGTTAGTTAATTTTTTTTTCAAAGCGTTAAAGAGCCATTACTGGTTTGAATATGAGTGGTTGACTGAAAAATAAAAGAACGTTTAGGACTTGTGGGATTCACGTTTGCAATTGATAAGTATCTATAATGTTTGTCATGAGAGGTTGTGATTTGTTTTTGTTTTTCCTTAGCAAAGGTTATAAAACAAGTCTTATGCATTGCTATGAAGTAATTCCTGAAAAAGATGCTTGCAAACTTTATTTTGATTTGGAGTTCTACAAAGCAGCAAATCCCGGTGCCGATGGCAAGGATATGGTTGCAAAGCTAATTGAGGTAAACTGGAATACAGTCATGCTGTAGACTAATGCAAGTTTGGTTTTGGTTTAATACCAAAGTATTTAGCACTTCATCTTGATTGTTCTGTAGTAAAATGAAGAATTACAGAGCTAGCGGGTACTTTTAATGAAGTGAAAAGTACATTTTAATTACAGCCTAGGTTGCCTGCTTCATGCTAGAGCATGATGGTTTCGGAACGCTTGTACTCACTATAGGTTTACTGTTATGAATTTGCTTGCAGATTGTTTTATGTACTCTGGCACTTCAAAGCTGTAAAAGTGAACGAGTGTTTTAGTTATTCTTGAGAATAGCATCAATAAAAGTTCCATTTGAATATTCTTCAGATCACTCCCTATGCTATCAGGTGCAGTCACATGAAAGCTCAGACGAAATCCTCACAATTTTAGGCACCTTCATTGTAGTTGATTTAGGTAATGATATAGAGACAATCAGGTGACTGCACTCATCAGTTTTGATACCTAAAGTTAAATATGTTTGCTAACTGGCAATTCCATTAAATAGTGCAAATTTCTGTTCTATTGCAAATTAGATTGGAAAATGAGACCCAGTGCAACTGCAAAATGAGAAATAAAGCAGGCTCTTAGAAGTATGTCTTACATTCCATCATAACACAACATCTCTTTGTCAGTGGCTGTTTATTTGTAAGACTTCCGATGCTTCTGTGTCTCTAGCTAGAATGGAAAGAAAGGTGATTGAGACCATTCCTTTGTAAATAACCTTTAAATGACATAGAATCTGGAAGGTTGTACTCCATTCTAGATAAGTTCTGAAACATAGAGATTTGTAGGGTTAGGAAGAGATCTGGGGATTTACTGGGGGGACATGAGATGCTATAAAGTTAAGCTTCCAGACCTGTCGATTCTGAATCCAAGTCCTAAAAATGTTTAGATTGTAGTGGGTGTGCATAGCTGTTGGTGTGAACTGTTTTGGGGGCGGCAGGGGGGGGAATGAGGATAGAGGCACTACATTAGATTTTGACCTGAAAAACTGCTTAACTTATTGCTGCTAGTGATTTTCTCAATTAAAAAGGTATAATATGCACTAAACATAGAGTTCTATTTTTGTATATTCTGAGTTAATTAATTGTAGCCACAACACGAGAGAAAAAGACAGGCAAAAAAACCCCAGAGTCTACATTTGTGTTAGATTTCACAGACTCCACTTTCAAAATACTAGAGAAAATAGCCAAACTGATGTCCATGTAATTTTCAGCTTGTCAGCCAGAAGTTAAAAGAACTGTATGATGTTAACTGCTCAGCCAGAGATGTCTTGAATTTAGATTCCAGCACTGATGAAAAATTTAGTCGGCACTTAATATTCCTACCCTGCAAGACTGTATTTAAGGATAACATTCATGTTGGTAAGTGTGTTCTTTTCCCTTACGTGCTAGAAATAAATGGTAAGGTTTTGACTCTTTACAGTGCCATCTCACATTCAAATATTTATTTTTCTTAATTTGTATGTGGAAACAAATATCATCTCAGAAAAAAGGACTATTGCTATTTAAGTGTCATTATTCCTCAACTCATCTTTTACTTGCTTTTTCTATGATTATTTTTGTAAAAACATAACTTTTTTTGTGTTTCTGTTTTACTTATAAAACTACTGGCAGGACTGTTATTTGGCTTGAAAATTATTTTACAATAATCAGTTAATTTTCAGATTAATGTAAGTCTTTAATATACAATTAAAGTTAAGGCTGTAAATATAACTGGTTTGGGATCTGCACAGCATCAGAAAGCCAAGACAAAGATGGCTTCAAGCCACTGGTGTATATAAACATGGTTCAGAGAAAGTGAAAGCAATTTTAATTGATGGAAGTTGGGATTTCCTGGGATAGAGCAACTCCAACACACAAAAAAATTGCCAGGTCAGGATTGTCTCAGAACAATTCTTTTAATTCTTAGGAGCACTAGAATCCATGTCAGTAAAACTTTGAGGAGTAGCTCACTTGGCAAAGTAAACAGACTGTTGAATTTACTAGCAACTTGCTTAGGATATTGGCTGCCATTCCCAAATGTGACAGAGAACGGTTACTTTTTCCATGATGCCATAGCAACAGCAACAAACACAAAGAAGCTGAATAGGATCATTGCAATGTTTATTTCAGAAGTATGGTCTTTAATTCCTGTGCCACTAGAAAATTCTTATGTAACACATGGATGATAAGTAATTTGGCATGGCAGAAATTTTAGCCTGTGATCCTGATAACTAAATTGTGTTAGTCAGTTCTTTCAGTAGAAGCTTAAACTATTTATTCTAGCTCATTAGCTAGGAGTTTTGTCTCTCGACTGTTAAGTGAATTTGACATTTACTCTCAGTCTAAAATATATAGAGAATTATATATGTTCTTATTAAAAAGGCCTTTGCCTTTTCAACAAATGTTGGAGTCGCAGTATGAATGCATTTTATAATTGCAGTCTGTCAGTTAAACTCACGCATGTTACCAGTAATATTACAATCCAGACTTTTCATTAATGCAATTTAGTAACCTACTGTATAAACCCATCTGAAAACTAACTTCGTACTTGATGCAAAATGCTCTGTGGTAGGAAATATCTAGAAATGCAGTTTCATAAAAATAACTTCACATAATCTACCTGAAAAAGTATGTATTCTTCAATGTAACAGGAAGATTCTGGTCTAATATTTAACTTAAAAGAGCTAATATATATTTTAAGACATGTTCAAATGTTTTTAAATCTATCATAGTTTGTTGTTGAAAATGAATGACCTCATCTTCGATAATATCATATCTCAAGCATTTTGTCAGGAGTCATGCACAGAAGGATGTATTAAAAATGAGGCCTTGACTGCCAGCGTGTAATAACTGCAACAGTACAGATGTTGTGATGGGTAGGGGAAAACATTTGAAAGTTACAAAAGATATTTGTTTCATTTTTGCTCTTTTGTCCGAGACTGAATTTGGTTCAGAATCTTGGCTTGGAAAACTGCATTGACAGCCTATGCATTTCTGTTTCATTATTTTTCTTTATTTCTAATGAGGTGGTTGCCAAAGCAATTCATTTCTCTTTCTCTGCAGTAAAATTGCAAAGGGAAAGATAGCAGCCATATGATACATTTAACGCACACATAAAACTGCTTATTTTCTCATGTTTAAAAGAAAAAAAAAAATTGGTACAAGTTCTTGCCAAGCATTGCTTCCTTATTCACTACCCACAACTTAGCAAAATCCAGGAGATGAAAAAAACCCCAAACAGCTGCACCCACTTCCATCTTGGCTGTTTTGAAAATGTTTGCACAAGAGCGATTAAGATTTTCTTGACTCATACAGTTGTGTTTTGTTTTGTTTATAAGGTAACTTTGTGAAAACCATTTTGCAGCCTGCCATAAAATTAATGGAGAGTAACGTCACTGCTCCCATTGCAGAAGGAGGAACAGGATATATTTTCCAGTGTTCTGCACCAACAGTTGAGTTAGATGGTTCTCTTACAAACTTCACTGCAGTCAAAGATGCCTCCAAAGGCTGGCCAGCCATTGCTGACCAAAGAAAGGAAACAGAAACATCATACCATAGAGAAAACTCTGAATTTTCTTTTCTAATAGTAAATAACAAAGAAGGAGACAAGCAACTTTTTGTGGACCTAGGTAAGTATAAGAAGTGCTTTTAAACCTACTTTAGGATGCAGCAACAGTTAAGCAATCAGACCTTTAATCTTTGATAACAGAATTGTTAAGATTGTTCTTGTTTTTTATTAATGTTCAGAATTTAAACCAAATACTGTCCATGGTAAAACAACAATCATAAACATCGTAGTTCAAGGGAATCACAAATTCTTGACCTTTGGAAGTTTTTATATTTACTATATTTAATTTCTTTGTTCAACAGTTTGAAGAAATACTTGCTGTGCAGCTCTAATGGATTTTGTTCCAAAGGACTCACTGCTCCTATTTGATTGAAAGGGGACATATTGTTATTGTTTCAGTTGAATTAGAAACTGCTTAATTATAGAGCAAGCATTAAGGGTGTGGTGTTTTGTTTTGTTATACACATATGAATTGAGATGTCTTCCTCTGTTTGGAATGGCAGCTATTAGATTTTGATGACAGAATAATAGAAATTAGGGTTGGACACTTCATGCCCCACCTGTTCTTTGCCTATTCATGGCATTAAAATGTTAATAATCTTTAGGAGCACAACACCCATAGTCAAACTGAAGTTAGAAATTGCCACCCTCCTCCACCCTTATAATCTAGAATCTTTGCCCTTAGTGAAATGAAAATAGCTTTGCACACTTTTGTACTGCAGTGATTTATGTATAGGAAGAATTATCATTTTTTTTCTTAGACTTCACTAAAAAACCCCTCTGGATTTCAAATTCTTCTAATGGAATACACAGAATCATTTCTATTGCTAGTCTTTAGTACATCTTGAGTACATCTGATCTGTTGAAACATAGTCCCAAAGTTGGTATTTTGTTATGCTTCTCTATTACTGATTCAGGATCGCTTTATACATCTACTAACTAAATTTCCTTTGAGATATTAATTAGAGAATGGAAATTAAAGGAAAACAGGCCATTCACTGTGTCGATCCACCTTTTAAGGATTTGGTGTTAGTCCCCAAAATTAACTATCTTAAATATTTATGCTACCAACCTAACACAAAACTGCAAAGCTAAACCAGACTAGCTGGAGTACTGAGTTACAGCACAAGGCTGCAGTGATAGAAAGGCATATGACATTGTAGAGCTTTCAGTTCCTTTTGCTTCATGCAAATTAAATGCAATCCACAACTAAAGCCCCCACCTCTCTGATAAGGCTCGAGACAGATTAGGTGATGTTTACCTTTTTAATTGCGTTTGTTTTTGAGACTGGAATTACATTTTCTTGATACACACTTCATACATACTTCAGACAAGTCGTATTTGCTATGCAGAACACAGCAAGTTCTGCTAAGCATGATGTCATATCTGATTAAAATAACTGTAGCTTTATATTCTCAGTGGTATTTCACAAAATTATTGTGAAATCATGTTTTATGCTGAAGAGAAACCTTCAGCAGTGATAACGTCAGAACGATGCTGATGTGGAAATGGTGAATGTCTTATGTATGATATAAGAATTTGTGTGTTTGCATAATCTTTCTTCTGTGAGAAGTGAGCTGAAACCAGTTTTCATCCATTCCTTAAACCCTCAGTTGGGTCTCAGAAAAATTGTTTTATTTACAAATATACAGTAAATCCTAGCAAGCACTGTTATGTTATGAAGTATTTGTTTTCCTGCAGGAGTTTACACAAGGAACAGAAATTTCCGGATGTATAAGTCATCAAAAGCAGGAAAAAACGTGATTCTGACAATAGCAGAGGATAATAAGTTTATCCCTAATTGTGAAGAGAACGTTTCTTTGGAGGAGGCATATTTTCTTTCCTCTTTGGTCTGCAACATTAGGTAATGGTTTAGTTCTAGTGGAATTTTAAATATTTTAACATACACATTTCAGCGATTTTTCTCCTATAGCACTCACGAGCAACTGCTATGAACAAGCAGATAATCCGTAAATACTGTTACACTGCTGTTTTTCCTGGAATTCCCTGGCTTTGAAGAAAAAAAAAATCTCGAGACTCAGTTTCCATTCAGATGTCCAAAGTCTGCTAACAAATTAAAAGATTGTTGTACATGTTTACTTGCACACCAGATTTCCCCTTTGGTACAGACACTTCCTTAGATTGGTTGCTACATCATATAATAATCTAAATTTTTTGTTTCTAATCTAACCCCCAGGTATCTTTGGCCCTACAGTGACTTGTAGCTTAATTTTACTGATCCCAGTAAAAATACTGTTACAGAAAGAGGGTTAAAATGGTATCTCTCTGTATAATTTTATGAAAACAAGTTTTTTGTTGCTTCCATTTTCTTAAGTGTTCATTTTCCTGAACTGATGCCAATAGCCTGATAGCACAAACCATATATTGTATTTATATCACAGAAATCAGCTGAATATGTCATAAATATGGATGAGAATTTCTGCTGAATTGAATTTAGCCTTCTGTAATCAGCTGACTCAGAACTAACAATATGGAAGGGCAGTTCAGTGCAGACAGAACGGAAAGAAAAATAAAGCTGAAACTTTTCAAAATGCTCAAGTATTACACCTAGAGCAAATACTTCTGTGAGCGTGGACCATTAGTCTCTAAATGGCTGGCTCCTGGGATTTCTGCCAGGCAAGTTTGGCTTTTTTGAAGGAGTAAACCCTGCCCTCTGCTGAGCATCAGAGGCAAGCATCCAAAAGTGCTGCAGGGACAGTGAGAGGCAGCATAGGGGAGATGAAAGAATGGATGACCTTAGAAGGGGTCTCTGGAGGCCTTCTGGGCCAACCCCTCCACTCAGACAGGGTACCCAGAGCTGGTTGCCCTGGGCTGTTCTCTTATACTATGCTGTGTTATATCATAGTGTGCTATGCATTCTCTCTTTTGCTCAGATCCAAAGATGATACAAAAATTCTATCTAGCTTTCTAGAAGAGGAGATAAAGACGTCTGCTTCTTTAAACAGTAAAACCACCAGAAGCACTAGAGGTACTGCAAGCCTTTTCTGTTCTATAGGGAAGGGGCACAAACACAAATGTACATTTAAGTTAGATGTGTTATGACTTTCACACCTGATAGCTTGTATGAGAACTCTTCCTCAGCTAGATTTCTGCAGAAGGCAGAGTAGGGATGTACTGATCTGTACCAACTCCTGCACTCTTCAATGCCCGAATGCCACCTACCTTCCCTCTTCATCCCCAAGCAGTCATGTTCTGTCCCAGTTCTCCATCTCTTGCTGATGGTGGTTGGGAGAGGTCTCTACTTGCCATTCCATGTCAAGTACCAGTTTGCTGCTATTGCACATGTGGTTGCAGGTGCTGGATACTCAGAATAGCACAGTGAGAGCACGAGTTAAGAGAGGGCTCTTTTCTCTAACCCTTGTGCCCCAGAAAACCTCACTAAAAATCAGAAGAAAGCTCTATAGAAAATGATCACTGGATTAACCCTTGCTTTTATGTAAGGAAGGGGTGGGATTTGTGCCTATGATCTACATAGCATATAACAGTACATTACAACTATGTTGTAATTACAGAAGCATTCTGTATATGTGGCTTTTTTTTTTTTTTTAAATAGAGTCCATGGAAGGCTATCAGGATTCACCGTATCCAGAGATTGATCGTTTTGTTCGTTCTTTGATTAATAAAGACGGGGTGCAAGGAGGTAACAATTGTGCCATTATTTCCAGATGAATATTCAGCAGCAGTGTTTTTAAACAAGTAATTTTCTTTTTCAGGGATAAGGCAATGGAATTATTTCTCAGGGGAAGAAATACTTGTTTATGATATTTCTGGTTATCGTTGGTGTGAAAATATTGGAAGAGCCCACAGAAGTAACAACATCATGTATGCTCTTTAACTATTCAATTTTCACTTCAAATCAGCTTTATTACACATTTTTCTGCTCAGCTGCAATTCTATAAAAATATTCAAATTCTCATCTGTTAAAATTTCTGCTCTCCTACTCTGTCAGGGTACAATTCTCCTCCTAAATTTACTTTGTGATGTAAGAGCCACATGTCGGTGTGAAACCAATATCAGTAGTTTGGGGACAAACAAAACCTGTTCCTTTAGTTTCAGAGTTTCAACATTGTGTATATTTATTTCCTTTACATAATGTTAGTAAAACCAAAATTATTATTTCATTCATAGGATTCTGGTAGATCTAAAAAAGGAAGTCTGGTATCAGAAGTGCCACGATCCGGTCTGCAGGGAAAAAAACTTTAAATCACAAAGTATGTATTTTGTTTGCCAAGCAATTGTATTTAACACTAATTAAAATTAAGATTCCAAGGAAACCCCTTATCTTTGATTTTAGGTCTTCCGTTGCCACCTAGGATATGTTTGTCTTCTCTTTTCATAGAGGTATGTGTTTTGTCTTATCAACATGCTAAAAGCAAAGCCTTCTTAGAAGAAAACTATATAAAATACACTATTTTTAGCTTGCTGAAAACTAATACATTCCTATTAGTATTAAAACAGGCTTCCATGGGGTAGTGTGACAATAAATTAACTCATTGGAAACTTGCTGGCCAGCTTTCTATAGCATTCATTATATGTAACAGTTGCAAGAGTTCAGTTAGCGATATGGAATAAAGAATGTTCTTTTTCTAAAAGGAGGAAGATCATACGGTAACAGAGAAACATGAGAACACAGAAGAAGTAACATCACATTCCAACCCTGCGGGTTTGTCAGACAGCCCAGCCTCTCAAGAAAAACACACATCTCAAGACACTCAGTGGAACAGTGCAAGTGATGATGCCTATTTGGTAGAAAGTGCTGAAGATGTGGAGTTAGCAGAAGCTGCAGATGATAGCCTGGGTTACGACACAGAAGAAATTCCTGATGAAGTTCTTTTGGAATTGTCATGGAAACAAGACACTTGTAACAAAGAGAACAGCTAACCATGGACTTGGCTAGCAAACAGACTAGTAGCAACAAAGCTTGCTTTAATACAGCGTGGGTATCGCATGCCTTCAGTGAAAGATACTGTAATGTAGTTCAAAAGCACTTTTCTAGAGCTTTTAGACAATAACACTAGTAACTGCTAAAAACAAGCAACCCTGAGAACAGATTAAATGGTGTAAAGAGATCAAAGGGCCTGAAGACGACTGGGCTGGAAACTCTCCATGAAGGCTGCTTCAAGACATTTAGCACTTTGAAGGCTTACTGCTTTGCAATTTCTATTTTTCTTAGCTGTTTGTTCAACTTTTACCAATAAGCCAAATAGTATATTTCTTCACTTACAGACATGGAAGAAAACTTTATTTCTGATACAGATCTAATAAAGAGATTTGTCTGTTACTGGTTTATCCAAAGTCAGTGCATTCCCTCTTTAAAGTACATATTGTTTTCAAGATCACATTACTTAAAACAACCAAAGATTGAAAAATACAAGTGTTGTTGAGAGAGTACACGAAGTTTTACTATATAAACTGGAATTCTTTCATTCTGAATTAAGTTCTTAGGCAAGCTATTTTACAATAGAAAGATACTATCTGATGAAGTCAGACTTCTTTTAAATACCAAAGACCAACAACAATTAGCCAAGCAAAGCACAGTCCATTACAATAATGATCAATTATTGTCAAAAAGCCTATTAAAAGAGCTTAATGTTCCTTGGATGACTTCCCTCTCTGTACCTCCAGGGCATATTCCAGTTTCCTATTAATATTTTGAAAGTGTGTTTCTGCTCGTAGAATTCTCCGTGACTCCACCAAAAGAGCAGGTAGGCTGGAAGCTCCGTACTGTTGTGAAGGAAGAAGTTACAGTTTTTTCTCCCCAAGAATTAAAAGTCACATACCTGTCTGTATTTATTTCTCCTCTGAAATAGTGCAATATAACTTCTAAAAGCAAGAAATAGCCAAGTGAGACAGTCTTCTAAAAGAACAGGTTTCCTGCTCTTTTATATATGGCAGGCACCTAGCACTGTCCACAGATTAGCGCACCAGGTCAAGAGTACAGCCACAGTAAGAGGGGACAGGTCTAAGATTAATCTGGTCACAAAATACAAGTGCTGCTTTTACCAACCATTAACCACATTATAGAACATGTATGTCAGAGCCTTCTCTAACATCAAACAAGCAAAAATTTGGTTCCTGTTTCTCACTCTTAATATTCCTATAGTTTCTATTAAAAAAATGCTAGACTTGAGGATAACAGTTACGTTTACATGCTCTTTAATTCTTGGACATAGAAATGGGGGATCAATTTTCTCTCAAATATGTCACCTTCTAACATGAGAGAGAAAAAGAGCGAGATGCTGATAGAGCAATGACTCTCAAGTTGGTTTCACAGAAGTGTTTTTTATCAGAATACTGCTATTTAATGTAAGCCGTATGTAAGTAGAAATGCATGTCTGTCCAGAAAAAAAAGCCTCCAGAAGGGAAGCTGATCCAGAACAGTTCAAAAACATGCAGAAATATGTACTCACTGCCACTTTCTTTCTTGGGTTTTCTTCTCTGTAATTCAAGTAGTCGTGCTGCAGTTCCTTTAAATCAGCAAGGAATTCAACTACTTGCCTCAAGGAAGATTTCCTCTCCTGCACCTCAGCATATTCTTTTTGTAGTTTTATCAGTTGTGGTTCAGTTCTGAAAAAGATCATGCTTTGATCACTATATCTGAATATTTATGACATGAGGAATTGTGAATGCAATTCTCTGCAAAGAATTAAGGAAAAAGTTGATCAGAAATATGAAGCATAGGTTATAACAACATACTCTTTAAACAGAAAAATAGGCATATTACTTCAATTGGAGTATAGGTCGAAATCCACAAGAACAAACAAAAAACCCTTCACCTTGTAACTTCTCACAACATTTTTCCACACTTTACCATCAAGTCTGACAATACAGCGAATCTCTTAAGCACTTCTGTGCCTCTGACACTGCTTAAATATACCATCTGCTTCTGCAGACACCAGCTTGCAGGCTGTGGTGTTCTGGACCTATGCTGAAGCATACTCAGGAGCTATAAACAAGATACTCTGCCTAAGAAAGCTGAAGGACTCAATCTATTAAATGATGTTTGAAGTATAATCAGCACTCCAGAAACAGAACACCTAACAGCCATTTTCATTTCAGAAAAGCTTTCTTAAAATGATCAAATGATTAAAACACAATAAATAAGAAATGTGAAGACAGCTTTCAACCCGCGAGAGGGGCTAGATACATCAAATTCTCATACCATCAAAAACAAACTCTGTACCATCTTCCTAAATTTTGCTTTATGACTTTTACTATTCCAATTGTAACAGTGTTTTTCTTAGATACATACTGTCTGAAATACCATCCCTGCAACTACAGTAACCTAAGAAAACACTGCAAGAATTAATCTATCTAGCAATCTGAAACACAGAAGGGTTACCCAAAGCTTCTGTAAAAAGACAATACAGAACAGAATTAGAGTTTTACCAAAATAAAAAAGTTGCTTTTACTTCAGATTTAGAAAGCATACTAGCTTCCTCCAGCTTTTCAGGCTACTCTACTGTGCATTATTAGAAACATACCTGCTTAGCTTTTCTCTGACTTGCATCAGTCGCTGCCTTTTCTTGTTGATGTCTGCCACGACCTGTAACAAACAAGGAAAGACTGAACTTGTTTGTGACTTCACAGGCAAACAGCTCAAATACTGAAGGCTATTTTTTCCTTTGAGACTCTAAAGCATGTGATTCAGTATGGTTGCTGGAACTATGAAATTAAGTATAACAAAGCTTTCTTAAATAGATGCTTTTAAAAAAATTCTCTAAAAATTTACATTTTAGAGCTATAAACTTGAGTTTTAACAAACATATAAAGCTCAAAATAAGAAAACAAAACAACTGTAAATGCTGGACGCATCCTAAAATTTTCATTTTTTACAGAGTAGTTTACTACATGAGCTCAAATTGCTTTTCATCCTTAGCACATTAATTGCTACCTGTCAGAATATCCTTTCTTTTTGTTAAAAGCTATTTAGTCATCAAAAAGTTTGCTGAAGAGGTTAATCTGTGCACACTGCTTGCAGCTGCTAAGTAGGTTAAGTTGCTTAATAATTAAATAGAAAGAGATATTCAGAAAAAAGAGAACAAATTTCAATCTTCTCTTTGGTCCAACTGCCTTTTCACACTTAGAATTACAAGGTCCAAAGGCAGAAAGTTCTACAGACACTTCATATGAGAGACAAACCGTACCTATAATACACCACTAGAAAATAGGGCCCAACTTGCTCTCAAGTCTCCCTGCTGTGGGGGCATTCACCTCTCTCCTGATGAAACCACTCCACAGTTCTCTGCTCCTATGCTAGTTTCTCCAACTGTCTGTATTTCCTGTATTTCAAGTCCAAATGAACAGAGGAACTGCCTTCTCTGAACAAAAATCTTGCATGCACTAAGAGAACGTCTCCCTCAGACTTCTCTTCTTTAAACAATCCAGTGCTATCCCCACAGGTCTTTGCTGCTCTCTTATGAATTTTACATTAATTTATGTTTCTGGAAGGTGAGTTTCCAATATTTATTTGGTTCTCCAGAGAGCTCACCAGTGCTTGCTAAAAATAAATGAACATTTAAGAAATAAAGAGTAGTTCACATGCATGAAAACCATGTATGTCCTAATGTATGTCTGTAGTCCAACAGTACACACATGCAGTTTGCATTTGACCATGCTACTTCAGTTCCTTTCTCCAAACATTTCTCCACATCCAAGGATTCCTCATGCTGCATTTGTGCTCGTTTCTGTAGTACAGTACATTTTTTTTGTCAAGTATTTCTTCCACTCTGCTGTCTGAATTTTCAACGTCACCTCTGCAATCTGTAATTCCAGTGATGTCTTAGTATATGCTATGTAATTACCTTAGCATTTTTTTTCTTCATATTCTTTAGTTCCTGGACTTCTATTATCTGTGGAAGAGAACATTGGTGATGAACCTGAATTTCATCTCTATACTCATAAAAACACTGTTGTAAGAATTACTTTGCAATCACACCAAGAAGCTATTTAATAAACACCGTTTCAAAGGAATATGACAGGTGCCTCAGTTGTTTACCATCTCTTCCCCCATGCCAGAGGAAGACTGTTGCACACCATTAATCACCTTGCACCAATTAGCATTACATCCACTGTGTAACACTACCTATGCTATTTTTACATTACTTTACAGGATATGTATTAATCTAGTCGTTCTAAACCTGCTTATTCCAGTGAATTACTTAGAACTATAATTTTAGCACTCATACATTTTACTTATCACAACAAAGTTTGACTTTTACTAGTTGTAATTAGTGAGATTAATTCTTAGCCTTCCAAGCTAGTAGTTTGGTGGGATTTTTTTGATAGATATGTTCATGCTTCACTAAAAAATGGTTTTCATTAAGCTGTTAGAGGCATTAGCCAGGCTGCTACACACAGGAGTAACTAAGACACAGTCTGTGAGCTTTTAAAGCATTTTCCATAACTGCTTCCTCAGTCAAATTGTGCAGCTCTCCAGTTTTTACTGCACAATGTTTTAATTATGACAATAATTTCAAGATTAGATGCTTCCCTATTCTCAAAAACTGACAGTTTTGCAAGGTGTTTCCATGATTGCAATATTGTCCAAACACAATTCTTATAAAAGTCAACACAGAGGCAACAAGTCATAACATACAAGTAACCATGCTTTCATTTAATTCAACCTGACAAGAGATAGAAAATGTAAAGTATCATGAAGTAATCATTTAAGGGACAACAAAGCCATCAGCATTTTCACTACAGTGAAAATACATATTGCAGTGTAACACACAGCTCTATAATCATTACCACTTTTTTTTTTTACTGTGTACTTACAAGATCAGTGACTTGGTCCTCAAAAGCAGTACAGAAGGCACTGATAGCTCTTCTGCACATCTTTGATTCTATGCTTTGTCTGGAGAAGTCAGAAGGATAAAACACATTCATTTGTTTTAGTGAAGGAGAAATCCAGATATATTCTTGTGAATACAAGTACAACCCAATGTTAAACAGCTAGTAGCAGAAGCAGCTGCAAATCATTCACGTGCTAGCAATAACCTAATTTCTACAGAACCTAATTTCTAGAGAACATCAACAGAGATGTGCTGTTCTTATATTTGGAAAAATTCCAAATTCCCAGGATCATATGTAAAAAAAAAAAGTGTTAGAGAAACCTAGCAGCCATTAAAACAGTACCAGAATGTAACTAATGCTGCATTACTTAAGGGTGAGTCAACTAGCAAAAAAGTACATTATTTATTTATACACCTTTGACTATACAGTCAAATGAAAGCAGAATGTTTACCTATAGTTTGCTGCTATCTTTTCAAATTCAGCCAGAACAACATCCAGTT